AACATGAAACAGATCAGCAGCAACATGAAACAGATCAGCAGCAACATTGAAACAGATCAGCAGCAACATTGAAACAGATCAGCAGCAACATGAAACAGATCAGCAGCAACATGATGTGATTCTTCTGGTTAGGGGCCAGATGATTCTGACCACAGCCCTGTGCTCCACACAGGGAGCAGCCGAAAGGAGGAAAAGGAAAACAAACGTTGGACTTGAATTGTGTACTGAAATTGAGCCTCTCAGTCAGTCCTCTGGTACCGTGACTCTCCAGCAGATTGGAACAAACTTTAGCTTCCACTCCCAACACCTCAGATTCCAAGTTTAAACGCTGTTGCTCAAAAACAAAAAAAAATCCTTTGAGCTGTAAGAAGCGAGCGTGATTTTAGCTGAAGTATGAGTCGTCTTCTTAGAATTTAATAAAGTCTTATCACATCAGTGTAGCCAGGCATCGGTCAAGGTTTCATTTCCTTCAAACATCAGTGTGCAGATCTGAGAACAAGAGACCACTGATCCTCAAAACCGTCCTGTCATGCATCAACACACCTTGGACATTTCTAGGAAATACCTTCATGACATGTAACTGCCAAGACTTGGGGCTGATGTTCTCTGTTCTGCAGGTGGAGGGGAGGAGGACAGTTTGTCACTTCAGACATGACTGCATCACTGATCTGTGTTAACGGGGCCACGGCTCCAGAACACGCTTTAGGTCTTTATTTATTAATACGTTCTGCTGCTAAATACAACAGAGTAACTAAGCGGCAGTTTCAGGCTTTAATCGTGTGAAGTAGATGCTTTTCTTTCAGCACAGAACCTGTAGGAGGAAGCAGCGTCATCATGAGCAATCAAGTGTCTGTAAAAAAAACAAAAACAAATTCCTCCTTGGCAAATCTTATTTTTCTACATTTTCAAACGTTGGAGGAATGAATCCTGATGCTGCTCAATAATCCAGGTGGAAAAAATCTAACAAGGTTGAGTCAGGTCCTCTGGACGGATTCTTCCTGTTGAAACGTTTCATGTTTTGTCCAAAAGACTTCTTCATTCTGAGGAGCTGCAACAAACTCAGTCTTATAAACAACACCTTCTCAGAGTGGATCAACCAGTTTGTTGTTGACATCCAGAACCAGCTGCTCACATGATCAAGGAGGACCAACATCCTAACGACAGATCGTTAGTGCCCTGATGGCCGCTTGCTATTCACAGGGGCTGAGTGATACTAGCAATAACAGCATTGTAAGAGGGGGACGGTTGAACCCGGAGGCTCCGCCCCTGATGGACAGTTTCTTTTCACAAAGATGGCCTCCTTCACTCCTCTCTCAAACCATCGTTCCTCTCTGTCCAGGGTGTGAGCATCTTCATCCCTGAAAGAGTGACCTCTGACCTGCAGATGAGTGTAGACCACAGAGTCCTGACGTTGATCTTCTGTGATCAGAGGACCTGACTTTACTTTGTTAGATTTGGAGGAATGTGTTTTTGGAGGAGCTGCAGGTAGAGATGGAGAAGGACGTTAAACATTCATCGTCCGGCTCATTTTCATGGCCGTGCGCTGCGGACCACGGAGAACAAATCAGACCTGAGTGTCTATAAGGTCATTTTATATGTGCAGTTCATTGATGTGTGATGAGTCTCCATTAGTTTTTCAGTTCAACTAATCACTAAAAATTATATATTTGATTGACCTGAAACTGCATCTGGATGTTTCTCATGTTCAAGATCCAACGACTGGACGTCACCTGACACGAATACTTCCTGAAACACAATGTTTTAGATCATTTGAAGAACTGATATTAATGTCAAATAATTCAGGAGTCTCGATCATCTTGTTAGTATTCAGACCTTGTCTGTAGGCCACCGTGGACTACAGCAACTCAGGAGGGACAAACTAAATGGCTGTTGAAGAGAATTCAGTTTGTGACGATGATGATGATAATTCCTCTGTGTCCTCCGTAATGAACGTTTAAAGCTTACCGTCTGCAGCCGGACAAATTAAACGAATTAGATGGAAACTTTGTAACTTTTGTGTTTGCAGGTCAGGAAGACAACTCAGCGAAGTTTTTGTGCAGCTCCCGTCCAGGAAGGAACTGCCAGAATATTACGAGCTGATCAGAAAACCCGTGGACTTCAAGAAGATTAAGGTCCGTTGCTCAACACTCGATAATCTGATGAAGACTAGAAAGCAGAGGATTTCTAACATGATGTAGAAGCGTGGTTCTTTTAGGATTCTAAAAATGACTAAACAGTTGTTTTTAAGCAGATGATAAACGAACAGCGTGAACTCAATTATAGAAACGTGTTCGTTGCAGCTTTAATCACACGATGAAAGACAAACAGGAGCTCGAGTTAAACCAGAAAGCAAAGATGTGTCGGACTTTTAGCCACTCTGTGACCTAAAGCCACATTTCTTCTGTCAACAGGAACGTGTGAGAAACCATAAGTACAGGAGTTTAGGAGACCTGGAGAAGGACGTGATGCTTCTCTGCCAAAACGCTCAAACCTTCAACTTGGAAGGATCCCAGGTAAGAAACCCTCTAGAATATTTTCTAATCCCATTAATCCTGCACCTTTCCTGGTGTCCTCGAGCATTTCGACATGAGACGGAGAGCAGAAATGTGCAGGTTTTAACTCGGGTCGTGCTGAGCAAACACTCGTTTCACAGATAGTGCCGTGGACCAGTGATGAGGTCCAGACCTTCCTAAAGTCACTGACCCATGTCAGGATTCAGCTGGACGCCGCCACAAGAAATGAGCGCGTGTACAGAGAGAGAATGGCAATTTATAGTCCCTCGTTTATCGTGGGGGATCCGTACCCTGAAGCCCCGCGATAAGTAGGAATAGTAGTACAAGTAGTAAATAGTAGTTTATTTTAGTATTTATTAGGGATGCACCAATCCACATTTTTTAACTTCCGATCCGTTCCCGATACCTAAATCTGGATACCGTCCCGATATATCATCATTATTCATTTTATATGAGGCTGTAATCATTTCCTCTACAGGCAAGTACAATTTGTACAAATCTATGCATGCATGGACAAAAAGGCAACATAAGGTACGTTTTATTAATGTTGGATAAATTGGATAAGTTTCAAAGTTGGAATTAAATCCTGCTAACACAAAACATGTTTTTTTTTTATTATTCCTAGCTTTAAAGTGGATATTAAAGTGATTAGAAGGCTTTAAACATCTGCTAAGTTCACGTCATAAACCAACACAGACATGTTCCTGTTTTAAGTATTTTACATCGCTTTATAATGCAGCTGTTTTTGTTTCGTTTTATTTTCTAGTAATTTTCAATTCATATGTTTTTTTATGATCGTCTACTGTTGTACTGATAAATATCTCCTGGAGGGTAAACTATATCTTGGGTGCAAGTATCAAGCTGAGAAACCCTTTGTTTTCTACAACTGATAGAGGTCGGTCATTAATTACAATGAAGTTTAGCAACTTCTCTGTAAACATCTGAGCTCTGGGGCTTCAGCGGTGTGTTCTTCTTGTTCAGTCCGCAGCAGGCAGTCTGATTTCAGTCAGCCGCTCTTAGTCTGCCCTTCCTCTGAGACGGACAGTCTGAGCACGGCTGACTGAAATCAGACTGCCTTCTCCGGACTGAACGACAATAACAGACCGCTGAAGCCCCGGAGCTTGAATGTCCATCGTAAAACTAACTTTACTGCAGTTCAATGTGGTGCTCTGGCTCTGCAGACATTGCACGTTGCTTTGTGGTGTTTAGTGTAAAATACTTCCACACAGCGGACATGTTTCGATGAAAAGTTGGTTAGCTGTTAGCCACAGTGCTGCTGCACGTTGTAGCTGGCTGCAAACTATGAAATGGATTTCCTGAATGTGAGGCGGATCTTGTTACTCTGGGTTCATGAGACATGCCTCCGTTCAGGAAATCCATTCCATAGTTTGAAGCCAACGTGCAGAGCAGCTGGCAGGGAATCACATGTGGAGACGTTTCAACAGACATAGACATGCATCATGGATCGGAAATCTCTCCAGGTTGGATCGGAAAAATCCGATACGTAAATTATGCTGGTATCGGAGGCCGATACCGGATCGGCCCCATCCCTAGTGTGTGTGTTTTTTTATATATATATATATATATATATATATATATATAGGCATTTTAAACCCTTCCCACACTCTTGCAATATTCTAAACAATGTTTCTAAACTCTAAACATTCTAAAAGAGCACAGAATGTCATGATTTCAGCTCTCTGCCACCTGCAAGCGCTCTTGGCCACGCCCACTTATCCACTCTGCATCGAGAGCAGCTGATCAGCTGCAGCAGGAAGTTTTTCCTGCAGTGTGGGCTGCACAAAGATGCAGCAGGTGCTAAATAATTTTTTTAAATAAAAATTCCATGTCGATCGTGCGGCTCATCCATCAGCCAGTTGTGTGTTGTGTCCAATCTTCAGATTTGGACCGGGCCGGGCCATAATAATGTGCGTGTGGGCCGGGTCGGTTCAGATTATTTGGATCCGAGTGCAACTCTACTGAGAAGACGAGAGTCGAGTGGAGTCACTTATCAACGGAACAGTGTCTGAAGTCCAGAGTGAAGACGCCCCGCTCTGTTTTACAACCTCCTGTGATATTTCTGCACAAACAGATGAGACTTCCAGACTTCTCCTTTTTTATGTTTCAGAGAGGATCAACTCTTGTTACTTCCTTCTTGTGATTATGCGTAAGGTCTACGGTTGCAACGCCTCCTTTCGTAGGTTATAAAAAAAGGACACACGGAGGCGTTATAGTTCTCTTCCCTTCTGTGTCCACACCTTTTCCAGTCCTGCTCGTTATCTCCAGCTCGTTATCTCACTGGCTGGAACTGACTGGAGGGTGTTCTGTCTCCAGGCCCGGTTAACGTAGGCTGAAGTCCAGAGGGACAGACTGGGTCCGTCCGTGTTGAATCAGAGCTTTTCCTTCCCAGGTCTCACCTGCAGCTCGCTCTGGTGATGGTTTCTCATCGTGCATGTTCATTGTGCACATCGTGTGCAGGTCAGCTGATGTTCAGCTCATTCAGGTGTGATGGGGTTCTGGTGCAAGTTCACACCTTCAGCTCTCCTTCCCACACTTCATTTCCAGTCAAACCACTGCAAGAAGCCAGACTCCTTCTACCCTGTAGTCTCTTTATTTTCAGATATACGAGGACTCCATTGTTCTTCAGTCCGTGTTCAAGAGTGCCAGACAGAAGATCGCCAAGGACGAAGTGAGCGAGGACGACAGTGATGAGGATGATGATGATGACTATGACTCAGAGGCAGAGGGTGAGAAACACGCACAGCTTCAGCCTCGTGTCACGGCTTTATAGTTCAGTGCTGCAGAACCACTCGGTGCTGCTGGCTCTGCACGCTCTGTGAACTCAGGCTGCCACAAAACTCCAGGAGACGAAAAACAAAACTTACACCAGTTAAACAGTTTTAACTGGAAAAATATTATTAGACAATCCTAATTTTATATCAAATGAGAAAACAACACCTTGCACTGAGAGTTACATTTAGCTTTAAAAGTAGTTTAGATTCTTGGAAGTGATGTTAATCAGTGTCTTACCTGCTGTAGATAGCTCCTGGAATGTGTTTGTATAAATAGTTTAACAAAACTGATGAGCTAAAGGCTAGTCTGAACCACAGCGGGTCCCTGTCGTCTAAAATAACTTCTGCTGTTCATGTCAACTATATTTTATTAATTTTATTGCCGTTCAGTTTAAAATGTAAAAACCATGAAGGCTGTGCGCTGGTGGAGATTAAGTTCATTAAAAATAGTTTGGTCTGCTGTGATGAGTGATCCCAGAAAGTCTCAGCATGTTTTTGTTCACAGGCAGAAACCGGGAAGAGTTTTTTCTGTTTATTTAGATTCTTTAAGCGCTTCCTGCTTTGTTTGTTTTTCAGCAAAGTCCGTGCGTGTGAAGATCAAGCTGGGCAGGGACGGCCGCGGCCACGATAAAGGCAAGAAGAGGCAGAGCCGGGGGAAGGCCAAGCCGGTGGTCAGCGATGATGACAGTGACGAGGACCAGGACGACAACGTACGTCTGCCGGCATTCATTCATTTTAAAGTCTAATTAACTTATCAGACTACGTTCAGTCATTGAAACACAAACCGAATGCAGAGCCCCCCATGACCCAGACTGAACCCCTGCACGAGTCAGAGTAAGATGAAGAAGAGAGTCCAGGCAGGATGGAGAAAAGTTTCAGGAATGATTTGTGACAAAAGGTGTCAGCAAAGGTCAAAGGTGGCACCAGCTATGTTGTCTGGTCTGGAGACAGAGACATGGACAAAAAGACAGGAGACAGGACTGGAAGTGGCAGAAATGAAGATGTTGAGGTTCTCCTTAGGAGAGACAAGGATGGAGAAGATCAGGAATGAGATCATCAGAGGTACAGCACAGGTTGAACAACTGGGAGATAAAGTTAGAGAGGACACACTGAGATGGTTTGGACATGTCCAGAGGAGGGACAGTGGTTTGGACATGTCCAGAGGAGGGACAGTGGTTTGGACATGTCCAGAGGAGGGACAGTGGTTTGGACATGTCCAGAGGAGGGACAGTGGGTATAGTGGTAGAAGGATGTTAGAAATGCAGCTGCAGGAAAAAGAAGAGGAGACATGTGCTGCCGTATAAGTTGCATCTATGACGTGTCACCGCTGACAGCCTGGTGACATGAGCCGGTGTTGAACCAAGAATCGATTGGCTGCCAAATGGCGGCCACGGGAGCGCGCACGGGAGGACTTTAACAAGAAGTTAACAAGATTAACACTTAAAAACAATTATTTGTTTGCTCGACATTATAGTAAAGGTGAGTCTCAGTTGAACTTTTCCTTAATAAATGCACTTCGATGGTCAAATCAGCTGCATCTCTCCTGGGCGGCGCAGCGAAATGAAGCTGATTTGACGTTTGATCCAGGAGTTCTGGAGCGAGACCAAGGTGCTTTGTATGGCAAGCCAAGTGCCTCATTAATAGCCACTTTTACCTATTAATGAGACACTTGGCTTGCCATATAAGTCGAGGGCCCTCTAGTGGTTGAAAATGTTTGTGTTCAATATTTTCCATGTCAGAATGAATGAAATCGTCTGATCTCAGCCATAAATTTGTTATAAATGTGGAAAAAACGTTTTATTAGTTGCTTCTGTGTAAAAGTCGCAGGACCTGCAAATTTATGCAAAAAAGTGCAACTTATACGGTGAAAAATACAGTGGACGGTTTAAAGTGTTTGATTTTACATCTTAAGGTGTTAAGTTTACTTTGAATGTAAAGCCAGTGATGGAGTTTGTCTGAATGTTGGTGCAGACAGTGATGGACGTATGTCTCTGTGTCTCCTCTGTCCTCGGTCGTCCTTTTCGTCTTGGTTTCACGCTCAGTAAAACATGAAGCTGTAAGGGCTTCAGCTCTGGACAGCTCAGATATTTTCAGACACTCCCTCGTCTGCCTCCATCGTTCAGATCTTGTTTTGTGAATCGTCTTTTCTCTCCGTGTCTGCAGGATCTGTCAGACAGAAGCAAAAGCGACGACGACTGAGCGGAGACGAGGAAGGTCACGAGGATATTGTTTGAAGAGCTTCGAAACAAAAGGACAATATCTTCCATTTCTTTAAGTTCATCCTTTTTATTTTGTGTCTTTGTCTCCTTGGTTAGTCTGTAGTTGCTTTTGTCTTTGCTGCCACCAGCGTTTGAAGCGTTTTACTAATCAGACTGTAACAAACAGCAATACCAATCGGCTCCTGTTTTTAAACTCTTTTCTAGTATATTTATATACAACCACCAATTCTTTATAAAAAACAAAGATTGGTTATTCTAAAACTAGTTTACCTTCATTAAAACAATAATTATAAATAAAACATCTGGGGTCTAACATCCGAGGCGCGTTTTTTAAGTTTTAGTTTTTATTTGTCCACTGTGCTGCGTTAAATGTTAGAATAGAAACAACTGCTCATTTATCACTTTTATTTCTCTGTGGAACGTAATAATGAGAATGAACACGATTCATCCTCAGTTAAAGGCCTTAAAACTGCCGGAAAATGATTACTTATAATAATAATAATAATGTTGTTATAACTAATAATCCCTGTGTGGTTGATACTGAGCGTCACATTCAAACAGAATAATCTCAGCTGCAGTTTTCGAACAATCTGGAACCATCGCCTCAGATTATCACTTTTGATTCGCTTCATTCTGACTTCAGTTTTTATTGGAATAGTTTCAATTAAAAAACAACTTATAAATATGTCTCTACTTTCACGTTGCTTTCCACCGTTTCCATTTCTAGCGGCTCTGTTTTTACCGTCCCACGGTCTTCTGTGGTTCAAAGCTTCAATCAGCGCTCATAAAATAAGAAACGTTTTATCGACATGTTGCCAACGTGCACGTTCTTTCGTTCTGTCGTAAAGCAGCGTTTGCAGTTTCACCTCCAGTTCAGTAGATGGCGGTAACGTTGAAGTACTTTCTTACCAGGAGGTTGTTTTTTTTTTTTGCGACGCGTTCTACAAACGTGGAAATAAATAAATCTCTGAAGAAACCGTCGTTTTTCTTCTTCGGCTCAGGTTCGTACGGCCAGGCACGAAAACTATCCTTCCCTTCCAAACGGGTTTTATCATCACATCTGTTGTCAGTCGTCACGGCTCACATGGTCCCATACCCTGGACTGGTCCCATACCTGGACTGACCCCAAACCCTGGACTGGTCCCAAACCCTGGTCCCCAACCTTGAATTGGTCCCTAACTTTGGTCTGATACCAAACCCTGGACTGATCCCAAACCCTGGACTGGTCCCTAACCTTGGACTGATACCAAACCCTGGACTGGTACCAAACCCTAGACTGGTCCCAAACCCTGGTCC